TCCAGGGCTGGTGCTTAATCCACTGTGCCACCTATCTGACCCCTGGCCAATTCTTTCTTACAATAATTTAGAAAATGAATACTTTTCAACTTACTTATTTTTCCTGTGGATAACTTGGTCAAACACTCTTAAGTGTCTATGACTCTCATTTAGGAGACTCCCCAGCATTCCAGGGTCTAATATAATCGGTGTGATGTCAGCTGAAAATAAGAACATCTTCAGAACTTTACCACCCACTGGAAATTTCTGTTTGAGTTTTTAAGAATAAAATCTCCCTGAGGGTAGAAACTGTAAAGAACATAACAGATATCTTCAGTTTGATGTATGGCTAGAATAAAAGGTGAGTCAGTCATAGTAAGAATTGGGCACGACAAGGGGCAGCTAGGTGGCACAGTGGATAGAGCAAGAGCCCTGAAGTCAGGAGGACCTGAGTTCAAATCTGACCTCAGACCAAATACTTGACACTAGCTCTGTGACCCGGGGTAAGTCACTTACCCCCAATTGCCTAAAAATGGGAAAAAAAGAAAAAAAAGAATTAGCAATAACTGAAGAACAGTTGCTATGATGCCTTGGTATTCCATATAATGTCAGGAGACCTAGAGGAAAGGTCCTGACGTGTTTCATTAACTCTCTGTGGGGGATTTTTTGGTAAGACACAGCCATGAGTCACAGAAGAAAAAAAGGACCATGATTGCCACCAGAAAATATCTACATTAGTGAATTCAAATTAAGGCACAAAATTTCAAAGTTGAAAGGAACCTTAGCATCCATCCAGTCCAATCTGTTCCAGAGCAAGACTGTCCTCTAAAATGTACTCAGAGAGTGGTCATCTAGTCTTAGCTTAAGTCTAGCTAGTGAAGGAGATGACCCTACTTCCCAACACAGTCCATCACACTTTTGTATAAATCTAATTTTTAGGATAGTTTTGCTTACAGCAAGCCTAAATCATCAGAGCTCCATTGAAGTAATAGAGTAAGTGAAATTTCATTAGCTTTCTTTTTTCTAAAGTAACTATGTCACACTGTTGCCCTATGTTGAGTAAAATCAATCATGAATCTCAGGCTCAGAAACTACCAAACTAATATGAGACAGCAGAGTTGTCCTTTGATGCCATAATAAAAGGCTGAAAATGCTAAGATGCAGATTCAGAAAGTATGAAAGCACATAATTTAAGAATAATTAAATTAAAAACTACCTCAAGGTCTTCTCCCCTTAAACTATGATTAATTCAGATCTCTCCCATCTCCTACTTTTGCAATTGATTGGGGACCTAAGTGAATGACATTACATTTATTGTATTCCTGTTAAATTCAACTTGTTGGATTTAGACTAGAGGAATCATTAAACCCCAGAATTGGAAGGGACTTCAGAAGTTATTTACTATTTCAATATCAGGATCTTTCTGAAATCCATTACTATAGGAAAAGAAGAGGAATAGGATTTATCTACAGCCTACTGTGTACCAGGCACTGTGCTTAGAGCTTTGTAATAATTATCTCATTTGATCCTCACAACAACCCCATGAAGAAAATACTGTTATTATTTTCATTTTACAGTTGAGGAAACTAAAGCAAACAGAGGTTAACTGACTTACCCAAGATTACATGGCTATTAAGTGTCTGAGGCTGAATTTGAACTCAGGTTTACCTGATTTTAGGATCAGAGTTTTCTATCATCTGTGCTACCAGCTGCCTCTGCTACTAAGCCAATTAGTTTTTTTTTTAATCTAGAAACTTTACAAGCTTTTAGGGGAAAAATCATTGTGGAAAGGGCGCCCATCTCTTTCTCATTATCACTAACAATAAATGCTGACCAATTAACTCCAAAAAGGCCTTGGGAGTAGTGGTATGGAAGACAACCATTCCTGTTTCCAGCCAACTACCAGAAGCATCATATGGTGCAACTCCTTTGGTGAGAAGAGGTCAGCGAACTCCAGGAAATACCAAGCAACTGCCACCCCCAGGGTAGGTAAGCTAGCCTAACTGAAGAAACAAGGCACCTGAGGGACAGACAGCAGGTAACATGTCCTAGGCAAATCAGACCACCACCACCACCTTGACCATCATTTCATTTTTGACCTTTAGGGTAACAAACCCAGAAGCCTGAACCCAAAAGCCTGGGAAGTAGCAATACTTCCAGCACAGTGCCCTCAAAAAAAAATCCTAAGAAGCCACCCCTGTAATGATGTAGTCTGGCAACTGCTCCTGGGGGTGCTACAACCATAGCTACTGAGGAATCAGAGAGAAATGAATAAATTCTTGTCATCAAAGTCCTTGGCACTACCAAATAGTTCAATATCAGAAACTGATTGTTTTTCAGTGAGAATTGATGTTTAAAAAAAGAAAGACATACCCATTTGTTTGGCTGCTGTGCCCTAAGGATGATAGAACCTTTCCATCTGACTTAAAGCTGAAACCTTCTATATATATTGTCTCCCTTATTAGAGTGTGAGTTTCTTGTGAGCAGGTGATGTCTTACTCTTCTATTTGAATCCCCTGTGCTTAGCATACAGTAAGTACTTAGTAAATGCTTTATACATTCATTTATTACTTGGGCACATAAGACATGCTATGCTCGATCAGACCAATCTTTTAACCAATTTGACAATTGTACCAAAGGATAATACGGCAGAAACCATGGTGGTTCCCCTGCTCTCTACAAACTTAATCTCTGAAGGTTTGAAATTGCCCCTGTAAATGCTACTATCTTCCTTTAGTAAAACATTGTGACTCAATTAATAGTTTGGTAAACTGCTTACTTCATTCAATGTTTTGAAGAAAGATAATGTCCTCCATCCATATTTTGTTTCAAGGTGGTAAATTGCCCCAAAATACCAGAAACAATATATAACTTGAAACTCTGAAGCAATGTTCCATATTCCAGTAAAATCAATCAAATCATTTGAATATCGTCATGGGACATTCAAGTGAGACAAAGACTTTGGTTGTTCCTCTGCTGGTTTGCATTTTCTCTCTCTCTCCTATGTCTATAAAATGCAAATTCCCTGCCCACTGCATAAAGTAGGGCTTCCTTTTATTTGTTTTAAAACTGCCTCTAAGAGACTTCAAAGAAGGCCTCCTGATTCGACTGTCCTGGGGTTTGATGAACAAGTTCACATCCTTAGTGATTTTATAAATGCCGATCACATCCCCTTTCTAGAAGCCCTCATCAATACAGCCACGGGACTCCAATATTCCCTCTTGTTGTTTAGTCATTTCTCATATGGAGATTCCTCCATCCCCTTGATCATTTCAGTTGCCATCTTCAGACCAAATTATTACTTGATAAGAGAGTATTGCTGTTGGAGGGCTGAAGGTTTTGGAAATTGCTTCCCACTCTCCCAATTCATTTTCTTTATCCAGAGACCTAGTAACAGCCACCTTGGTGCCAAATGCCCTATGTTTGCAGACTTACAAGAATTCAGTGCAGAGATGTGTTTGGAAAGTAAATTATCCCCTGAATGGGTGACCCTGAAGCCTCGTGAACTAACTATGCCTTCCTAGCTTATTAATAAGCATCTTTTCCAAGTAACCAAGATGTATTGAGTTGGGACTCCCCAAGTACAAGCAAGTCCAGAAATAGCTTTGACTTTTCCTTTTTTTAATTTACCTTGTGGGGCTGTAGGGAGTGAGCAATCCTTTAGTCTGTCAACATCACCAGTAGCAGTACCACATAAAGAAAGGTAAATATGTGTGTTGTGGGAAGGGACTGAAGGGGGATGGAAAACAGGAGGGGGTCCAGCTGAGGGAAAAGAAGAGCTATTCACCTGAGAATAGGACCCTCCAACACACACAGTCAGCAATGGAAAAACCCGAGTCATCAGAATTCTGACATTGACAGGGGAACATTACAACATGTGGTTTTTCATACCTAGAAACTGATAATTCTATGGAATTAGATAAATTCTTTTACTGTCTTGGCATCTCTTAAGATCAGGATGGCTGTTGTTGTTAGACTCTTCTCTACAAATTCTTTTCACTCATTCATCATCTCATTCTCAACAGTTCTTACTGAGAATTATATGCTTCAAACCCTTTGATGCCTCAACCTGTAAAATGTGGGGTGAGGCTGTGCCTACTTAACTTGGTGCTCAGGACTATTTTAAGGATTCTGTAAGGTAATATTTATGGAAGGACTTTGTCAAGAAAAATACCATACGAATAGAAGTTTTAAAGAAGGAAAATGGAAGCATACCCTTCATTGCCAATTTTTTCTAAGGAAAGAGATCCTGGAACTTCCTTACTCAGAGCTTGGGGCCTCTTTGTTATGAACTACTCTTCCACCAGGATAGCCTCCTTCCGTTGTTGACTTCTTCTAGGGCTTCCATTTTGTAGAGGGACCCACACTGGCCATCCTTAATTCCCTTCCAGGCTTTGCTTCTGATTTTCTGGACTTAAAAACCACAACTCCACACTGGGTGCCTTTATTCCCATCTCACCCCACCCTGTCTCTCAGCTCCCTCTTTCATCTCCTTTTCATGGGTTGTTTTCCCTTCTTAAGGACAGGAACTGGCTTTCTTTTTGCTTACATTTGAAACCTCAGCATTTAACACAGTGTTTGGCATATAGTAAGCACTTAATAAATGCTTATTTCCTTCGTTATTTATGTGAAGAAGGGCAAAAAATATTTGCCTTACTTATAAAGTTGGGTTTTTTTTAAACTTCATTATTCCAGTAGAATGTAAATTCTTTATGTCAGTACAATGTGTATCCCTAGGTCCTACCGCAGTATTTTGTACTTGTTTAATGAGTGTATGGTGAATTATTGATTTGAAGGAGTTCTATTCTTTTTTTATGTAGAGGAACTAGCCTGTCACCTATATTAATATACCCTATCTCTCCATATACATGTCTACCTAGGCCCTGACCTTCACAAGTTGTCTCCTAAGCTAAATTTGTAGCTGAAAGAAAGTAAATTTCCCAGAGATCAGATAATAGTGACCATACTTTATTCTTTGAGAGGAGTCAATAGAGATGTATGCAGGGTCTTTGGTCTCTGACATTTCCCTTGTCATCCGTCATATAGGAGTTGTGTGCTGGTCACCTCCTCACTGGGTAATTGATGTTACACAAAGTACCTCTAGGAGAAAAGAGAGAAGGAATCCAAGGATGGATTCCAATGACTTCTGATTCATTTCCTTTGGGTTTCTTGCTGTTCTTAAAACCCAGTGTCCTTCCTTGTTCTACAGTGAATGTGTTGGTGCCCACGAAGTCCAGCATTTTTGTTGTGTTGTGGTTTATCTGTTCATTCTTTTGCTTTGAATAGATACTAAAAATGACAGCTGTAATATAGGAAGAAGAAGGTAAGCAGAATGATGTGAGGACTCTAACTCTTGTATTGGGAAGACCTGTTGAATCAATGGGGACAATTTCATTTAGAGAAAAGAAGACTTGGGGAGGGGACACCTGGTCCCTGTCTCCAAATCTTTGAAGCATCTGTCAGTAGAAAATGGATTAAACTTATTCTGCTTGGATAGTTGTAGATAGATACAGAAATGATAGATAGATGATAGAGAGACATAGGTAGATGATTGATGGAGAAATAGAGATGATAATGATAGATGCTAGATAGATTTAGATAGATGATTGAGATACAGATTTTAAATAGGGAAATAGAGATAGATAATAGAGATGATAGAGACAAATAATAGAAATAGATGATAGACAGATAAATAGATTAAAATGTTTATTAAGTATTTACTGTGTACCAGGCATTATACTAACAGCTGGGATTATAAATACAAACAAAATAGTCATTGCCATGGAAGACTTGATGGTAGAAGTGGAAGAGGAATGGCATGAAGATGCTGAGAAGAAAGAGAAGGCCAAAACACCTAGTCATAAAAGATTCAAAGGGGCAGATTTCAAGGCAGCAAAAGGAACAAATTATCTCTGCCCAACATTAGGGAATGGATGGAATGAGAGACAATGAGTTCACTGTCACAAAAAAACAAAAACAAATGCAAAACCAAAAACAATCAATCAAACAAACAAACAAAATAAGCTTTGAGTAATTTAGATGGCCAAATTGGAGATGTAGCTAAGATTTACACTTTGGATAGGCATTAGGCTGGATGACCTCTGTGCTCCTACCTTGGGAACCCCATGATTCTTGATATTTTGATTGGCAAACCAAACCTCTTATAAATGAAGATTCAGACACAGAAATAAGGAAATCATGACTTTTAACGATATATCTTCCTCCTAAGTGTTGAGCAGGTCATAGCTTTCTCTCTTTGGAGCATACAGAGAACTGTCATAAGAGTAATGAGCTAGCATCTTCAGCATATGCATTCTACTAAGACCAAATAGGTTTTGAATTTATAAGTGACGAAAGACCATCCCCTTTTCCTGCCTCCCCCAAAGGAAAGAGCCTAGTAGATCTCAAATAACTTCACTAATTCCATCTCATCTTTTACGTGAATAGCAAACACAGAGATCCTGTAGCCTAAATCCAAGGGTGCAAATCCTTACATGGAAGTAACCTGGGAAATGCTGCCACACTAGATAGGGTGCCAGTTTCTGAGTGTGGAAGATCTGAGTTTAAATATGGCCTCTTAGACATTGACAAGCTGTGTGACCCTGGGCAAGTCACTTAAACTGTTTCAATTTCTTAAACTATAAAATTGGGTAATAATAGAACCTACCTTCCAGGGTTATTGGAGGATCAAATGATTTAATAATCATAAAGCATTTTAAAATAGTGTCTAGCACATAATAAGAACTATATTTGTTGTTTGTTCCAGTCGCGATACTTCATGACTCTATTTGGAGTTTTCCTGACAAAGACATTAGAGTGATTTGCCATTGTCTTCTCCTTTTGCAGATAAGGAAACTGAAGCAAACAGGATTAAATGATTTTCCCAGGAAAATCTAGTGAGTGTCTAAGGCTACATTTGAATTCAGGTCTTTCTGACTCCAGGTCGGACACTCTATCTGCTACACCACAATGTTAGCTATTATTATTTCTATTATTATTAATTGCCTCTTTTTGTGCTACAAATCTTATCTCCTCATAAATCACAGATACTGAAAAAAATAGAAAAGTTCTCACCATCAGAGTCTTTTGCATCATCAAATGGTTCAATAGAATGGTTTTATCAGTGGAAATGACATTAAAGAAAATGCACAACAATCTATTTTGCTACTGTACCCTAAGTACTGTGCCTTTCCACCTGGCTTGCTGCTAAAACCTTCATGTGTCATCTCTTTGATTAGAATGAGAGTTCCTTAAGAAAAGCATTTATCTTGCTTTTGTGTTTGTATTTGCAGTACTTAAACACAGTGTTTGGCATATAGTAAGCACTTAACAAATATTCTTTCATTCATTCATTTATCCATTCATTGACTTGGCACCTCAAAGCTATAATTAGCATCTGAACAATCTTAACTTCTTCAAAGTGGTTTACAAATAGGAATTGCCCTTCAAGCCCTGTTCCTCACCCGTGGAATAAAATAAAGAGGGAGCCAAGAGATGTAACTGGGATCCCTCATAGAGACCTGAAGATCCAGGAGATCACAGATCAGAGATTTACTATGATGGAAGGCAGCCACCAGTCTAGCAGTAATTACAGTCAGTAATATGCACATTACAATAGAGAGTAAACCATTTACCTTACTGTCATTGGCAACCTCACTGCTGAAATTGTGCTCATATCACTCTATTGATTAGCAGTATGGTGTGTGTTAAAATCCCATTACAGAGAAAAGTTCGTCTTGACCTCCTCCTCTCCCTGATGTAATCATAGAATGTTCAAACTCCAAAGGACCTTAGTGATTTTGCAGTGCACCTGCCCTGCCTACCCCCACCCCATATTATAAGTCAGATAATGAAGGTCCATAGATTAGGTCTTGGACTGCCATCGCACCTGTCAAATGGGCAAAGCCAGAATCATAGCTCAGTCCCCCTTCCCCCTCCCAATCCAGTGCTCTTCCTACTATGCTCTATCAGCCCTTTACCCTCTTTGTTGAGCACTAGCTAGGATGGAACAAAAATTTCTAGGGGTAAGGGTTTCAGGGAAGACACAAGGCAGCTGAATGTCATTTCCTGAGCTGGAATCTATCCAGGGCAACGGGGTTAACAACATTGCTCTTAAGGAAAGTGCTTGACCACTTAGACTCATTATAGCTACTCTTTCTCTTCTCCTGCTGGGAAATTCCTGCAAGAAGAGCATACTTTTAGAGGAGTCGGCCTGTGAGCATGTGGTTATTCTTTCTCTCTAAACCCCAAGGGGCGGATGTATGTAATTACTTTGGATCTATTCAGTGTGATTACCCAATAATCCACAGCCACTTATAAATACTCTGTCATTACATGGCCTTGTCCCAGTAAGCTCTGCTAGGTTTGCAAGTCAGGTAATTATAGATCTGCTACAAAGCATGGGATTAGTGGCATTCAGAAAATTTTTAGCATTGTCCTTGTATCTCAGTGGTAGAACATTACCCTCTTGCAGAAAGTCTGCTGCAAAAGGACTACCACTTGAACTCCAGGATAAAGAGAGGCACTTGAGTATAGAACTTGGGCATAGGATGCTCACTGTTCACCCCAAAGTCATTGCTTCTGATTTAGTTAGGCTATAAGGATCAAAAGACTCTTTCTCAATGAATTTGTGGGAATGATGGCCCTTCAGATAAGCTCCTCAATTCTAAACTCAGCACCATGCTGCTAAATCAAAATTTGGCTGATACCACTTCCTCAGCCTCCTCTCCCATCCCAAACTCTTCCCAATGCCTTCCTTTATAGAGGCCAGAAACTAAACTTTCATCCCACTGTACTTTGCATCTACTGCTCATCTTAGTGTTGAATTCACAGAACAAGATGCCTCTGATATTTTCCCCTGATTGTAACCTCCCGGAGGGTAGTAGAGACTATCTTTCTTTTTATTAGTGGTATCCGCAACACTTACCACAGTGCTTGACACACTGTAGATGCTTAACTAATGTTTATCGTATTTTCTTTTACCTTCTCCTTTCCTCTCCACTCCCTTTTCTTCTTCACTCCTTTTCCTTCTTCTCTCTTCTCTTGTTTTCTCCTTACTGCATGTAGCTCTGTTCTGGATGTTATTGGAAATAACAAAAATATGAAATATGGTCCATGAGCTGAAGGAGCTTGCAATCTATTTGGAGAACTGACTTTTGTGTCCATGAAAAGTTAATTAATAATATAAGACAATAATTTAAAAGAACATCCAAAGGCATGTATAATTAAATGTCAAAAGAGACTGTGGGAAAGAGAACTATCCCTTGCTGTTGATGGTGGGAGTAATTTACTATTAGTAATGGAATCCCTATTTTGGGCTCACCCGAAGAGATGAAATCATTGAGGATGAAGGAAGCAACTATCAGAACGTCCTGCAGCCCTTAGGAGAAATCTTTGGTGGAGGAATTTTTTCATCTAAGGAGTGAACAGTTTGAATAGGACTTAAAGGGAACCAGGTTCATTAGCACCTTTATTGAGCAAAAGAGAAATGATTTACAAGGTTCTTACAAGATGGCATATATCCCATGGAAGGAGTCTTTGAGGGCCAGATGGAAAAAGATCTTTCACAAACTCATCTTAGGATCTCTGCCCCAAGACACATGATTTAGAAGCAACATTTTGAAAGATCAAGACACAAGCAACCTGGCCAAACTAAATACCTCTTATTCTCTGAGACAGATGCCTTGAATTCTCACTCACCTCAGAAAAGGTTGAGGTCTCTAAAGTCTAGAAAGGCAGACTAAGTGAAGATGGATTGGTCAGAGAATAGCGGATGAGGTAAGATAAGATCAATTTCTTGCTCTTTCACCAAATTTTCAGATGGCAGAAAATTGAGAGATATAACTAATATTGTATGACAAAGGCAGGATCCAGAAAGATTTTGACAGACTAGAATCATGAGCCCAATATAGTATGATACATTTAAATTGGTTCAGAAAATTAACTGCTGAAATACAGGATAGGCAAAGCAGTACAGTTGTTCATCTGAAAATAAGATCTGATAATTTGCTTATGATGTATCAATAGTGTGATATGGTAGTCATGAAAGTGTCAAGGACCAAGGAAATGGTAAGCCATCCCCTCTGTACTATATGCAGAGTATCATGCCCAATTTGTATGGCACATTATAATCTGGAGATCTGAGCAGAATAGATATTACCGAAGATGCATGAGGACCTCAAGTGCATGCTATATGAACATCAGTTTCAGGAACTGGGGATGTCTAACCTGGAGAGGAGAAGACATTATTAGAAGACATTAAAACAGACATTATGACTGTCTTCTACATCCCTCTCCAAGTTGCACTGCTGACTCATTTTCATAGGACTTTGTCTACTGTGCCATAAAACTTCTCCCCGAAAGCTCACTCCACCACTTGACTACTTCTTACATTGGTAGTACCCTCCTGCCCTGAGGCCTCATCTTCTGGTAGGATGGTTCTTCCAAGAACCCCCAATTAAAGGAGAATGCCCAGGCCAAAAATGTCTTCAGTCCTTTCCAAGCTACAGTGCTGACTCATCCTCCATGCCTCTGGGTACCTTTCTTCATTCCTCAACCATCCTCCTTTTCAGGACTTTTTTTATATTTTTTCTTCCTCCATTGAACTGGATGGCCTCCTTTAGTTTCAATTATTGCCTCTAATCCCATTTACACTCTCACCTAAACACTGATTATTCATCTATTCACTCTCAAATTCCATCTACAACCTTGATTTCTCTTGCATTTCCAGCTGCCTACTAGACATCTTCATTTGGATACTTAACTGGCATCTCAAAGTCAACATATCTAAAACTGAACTCATTATTTTCTTCCCTAAACCTCAACTTCTTCTTGACTTTCCTATCTCTGTCAACAATGCCACATGTACAACCTTTCACCACGACATGTCAATTACAGATTTGTAATACCTCTTGAATTGATATCCTCCTTACAATTCTCACTACTCCCATTCTCCTTAATGAGTGGTAACCCCTATAAAGTCCTGAAAGGCTCTTAGCATTTTGCCAGGATTCTTTCAATATCTTTCTAATAAGTCTTCCTGTCTCCTCCTTCCAATTAAATCTATACACTGCTGCCATATTAATCTTCCTAATATATAGGTCTGCGATTATCATGCCATTGGTAAAAAATAGTCAAGATCTCTTTGCTGCCAACCACATTTGTTATTTCCAGGCATTAAAAGTCCCTATACAGTTTGTCTTGAATCTATACTTTCTGTCTTATCTCACATCACACCTTTTCTCTATCTTTATTTCATCTAGAATGAACTACTCATTATTTCTCAAAGATCTCCTGTACTTTCCCATCTCCATACCTTTGTCCATACTATACTTGTGCTTGGAATTCTGTATCCCTTTACAGTCTTTTATTGTATTATGCCCATCCTTCAAGACCTTGACTAAATGTCATCTTTTCCATGAAGTATTTCCTCATTCATCACATGGACATGATTTTACCCTCATCTAATCCCATAGCTGGCATTGATATTATTTTTCTAATTTGTATTATATTTATTAATGTATAGGTCTGCTAGGTGTTATACTGAAGAGATCACCTGACTTCAGGTAAGGAAGACTTGAGTTCTAATCTTAATTCAGACACTTAAGAACTTTGTGAACCCAGGCAAATCACTTGCTGTCATCTCAATTTCAGTATTTCATATGCAAAAAGAGGATAAGTTGTTTTGAAGATCAAATGAGATAACATACATGAAGTATTTTATGAACTTTTAAGTCTTATATGAATATTAACAATTATCATTATCTCCCCTATCTAATGACAAGCATTTCAAGGACAGGGATCCTGTCTTCTGTATCTTTGTGTTAAGAGCTCACACTTAGCATATTCTCTTTACATAGCAGAAGTGGTTAAAATAATAATTTAAAAAATGGAGACCCAGTGAAGGTAAGCAACATTTTTTTTATCTTTTTTTTCTGAATAGGGCAAATTACAGCCCCCTTTTAAAAATGTTTCATACTTTCTTTTCCCCACGTTGCATATAAAAACAATTTTTAGCATTCATTTTTAAAACTTTGAGTTCCAAATTCTCACTCTTCCTCCCCCTCACCCCTCCTCATTAGGAAGGTAAACAATTCTATATATGTTATACATGTGTAGTCATGCAAAATATTTGCATTTTAGTCATGTTGTGAAACAAAACATCCCCCAAAAAAACTCAAAAAAAAAAAGAAAGCTAAAAAAAGTATGCTTCAACCTGTATTCAGACACCATCAGTTCTTTATCTGGGGATGGATAGCATTTTTCATCATAAGTCCTTCAGAGTTGTCTTGGCTCATTGTATTGCTCAAAATAGCTAAGTCATTTACAGCTATTCATTACACAATATTGCTGTTACTTTGTACACAGTACATTTCACTTTGCATCATCTCATGAAAGTCTTTCCAGGTTTTTCTGAGAGCATCCTGCTCATCATTTCTTATAGTAAAATAGTATTCCATCATAATCACATACCACAATTTGTTTAGCCATTCTCCAATTGATAGGCATCCCCTCAATTTTCAATTCTTTGCCACCAGAAAAGAGCTGCTATAAATAATTGTGTACATGTAGGTCCTTTTCCTTTTTTTTTTTTAATCTCTTTTGTATATAGACCTAGTAGTGATATTGCTAGGTCAAAGAGTATGCCTGGTTTTATGGTCATTTGGGCATAGTTCCAAATCGTTCTATAGAATAGTTGAATCAATTCACAACTCCACCAACAGTGCATTAATGTCTCATTTTACCCCATCTCCAACACTTGTCATTTTCCTTTTCTATCCTATTAGACAATCTAATAGGAATGAGATAGTACCTCAGAATTGTTTTAATTTACATTTGCGCAATCAATAGTGAGTTAGATCATTATTTTTCAGTGTGGCTATAGAGAGCTTTGATTACTTTATCTGAAAAAACTGCTCATATCTTTTGATCATGGATCAATTGGGAGAATGGTTCTTTTATAAATTTGACTCAGTTCTCTATATGTTAGGGAAGTGAGGCCTTTATCAGAGAAACTTGCTTCATTTTTTTCCCCCACAATTACTATTGCTAAATGTATTCCCCTCTATCCTATTCTGCCCTTCCCCCATTTATTCTATTCTTTCTCTTTTCACCATGTCCCTCCTCAAAAGTGTTTGCTTCTGACTACTCCCTCCCCCAATCTGTCTTCCCTTCTACCACTAACACCCTTCTTCAATCCATTTTCCCTCCTACTTTTCTGTAGGATAAGATAGATTTCTATACATAATTGAATGTGTATGTTATTCCGTCTTTGAGCCAATTCTGATGAGAATAAGGTTCACTTACCTCCCTTTAACTCCCCCCTCTTCCCCTCCACTGTGAAAGCCTTTTCTTGCCTCTTTTATATGAAATAATTTATCCCATTCTACCTCTCCCTTTCCCTTTCTCCCAGTACATTCCTATCTCACCCCTTAAATTTATTTTTCAGTATCATCCCTTCATATTCAACTCACACCTACACCCTCTGTCTTTATCTACTCCTTCTCACTGCCCTAATAATGAAAAAGTTCCTATGAATTAGAAGTGTCATCTTCTCATGTAGGGATGTAAACAGTTTAAACTTATTAAGTCCCTTATGGTTTACCTTTATTACTTATGTTTTTATGCTTCTCTTAAGTCTTGTATTTACAAGTCAAATCTTCTATTCAGCTCTGGGCTTTTCATCAAGAATGCTTGAAAGTCCTCTATTTCATTGAATATCAATTTTTTTTCCCTGAAGGATTGTAGTCAGTTTTGCTGAGTAGGTGATTCTTAGTTGTAAACCTAGCTCCTTTGCCTTCTGGAATATCAAATTCCAAGCCATCTGAACCTTTAATATTGGTGACTCTTGTCTTATCCTGAGTGTGGCTCCATGATGCCTTAATTGTTTCTTTCTGGCTGCTTGAAACATTTTCTCCTTGACCTGGGAGCTCTGGAATATAACACTCCTAGGAGTTTTCATTTTAGGGTCTCTTTCAGGAGGTGATTCTTTAAATTTCTATTTTACCCTCTGGTTCTAGGATATCAGGACAGTTTTCCTTCATAATTTTTTGAAAGATGACATCTAAGGTCTTC